AAGGCAGAAAGAGGCAACAGATGGAAACTAATCAAAGATCCTACCTGGAACTAAGGAGAAACTTCCTGACGAGAACAATCGGTGGAGCAGCCTGCCTGCAGAAGTGGTGGGTGCTCCATCATTGGAGGCTTTTAAGAAGAGCCTGGGCAGCCATCTCTCTGAACTGGTCTACGGTCTCCTGCTTGAGCAGGGAGTTGGACAAGATCAGTGGTTCTCAACCTTCCTAATGCCGCGACCCTTTAATACAGTTCCTCGTGTTGTGGTGACCCCCAACCAGGGGTGGGTTCTAATTTTTTTTACTACCGGTTCTGTGGGTGTGGCTTATTTTGTGGGTGTGGTTTGGAGGTCATGTGACTGGGTGGGCGTGGCTATGTATAGGGACTACTCAGAGAGCTGAAAAAAGTCATTTCTGACAGGTCCTCGCACTTTTGACTGGTCCTCACACTTATGATCATCCTCACATTTATGCCCGTGCAGCATTCTTAACAACCATGTCACTCATTTCACAACTGCTTCTCTTCAACATGGTGATAAGATAGGGCAAAAAACGTAAAATGTGAGGACAGTCGTAAGTTCGAGGACTGGTCAAAAGTGTGAGGACCAGTCAAAAATAACTTTTTCAGCCCTCTTGAGTAGTCCATATGCATAAAAGGATACAGCAATAGAGAGGGATGAAGGAAGGGAAGGGAAATTAGAGTAGGAGGGAGGGTAAGAGAGGGAGGAAGAGAGGAGGAGAAGGAGAAAGGAAGAGGAAGGGAGGAGAAGAAGAGGTTGGGGGGAAGAGAAAGTAAGAAGGAAAGAAAAGAGAGAGGTGGTAGGTTTGAGGAGAAAGATTGCTGTACAATAAAAAAGATGAAATGGAAGAAAGGCAACCCCAAACAAATATAAAGATATTAAGATGAATGAATTGTTAAACTTTAAAGAATAAAAGAGAACAAATATGAATAAATAGCAATAATTAGAAACACACATACAAACATACAATGTATTTTCTTTGAACAGTGTATTTGGCCAGTTCACAAATTTAACCAGTGTTTAGTCATTTCAATTAAATTTACAATTTCTATATTTCCTTTTTGCCACATTTATTCTTCATCTATTTTTTTAAAAAACCAATATTACCCTTCATCTTCATCTCTAATCTTAATCAAATTCAATTTTTCCCTTCTATTCTATATTATACCCCTTCCCATTGTCATCTCTTTTTATATCCATCCTCACATTGGTTAATTATGTAATTATGTAATACAGTTGTTTAATACAAATTCAACATTTTAATATAAATCAATTAGTTATATAACTATCTTTTTTGTATATTAATCAATATGAACATGAATATTCCAATTATTTCCATGCAATCCAATTTCTTACAAATCAATTAATTATATTTACCAATAATAATAAACCAAATAATTTCCCCCATATATTCCTCCAAACCACAACTTAACCATTTCTGCTTTCAACACAATATACAATTAATAGTATCTCAATTATTACAATTCCCTAGTTAAATAGAGTTTTTTTTCTTTTGTGTTTTAAAATCTTGAACCTCCTCTTTTGCCCTAAATTTCCCATTGTTTGCAGTTTTGCACCTACCTTTTTTGGTGAGGAAAAAGAAAAAGAAACCTCTCTCTGCCTCATTTTGTCATGTTGCAGCAAAGACCCTGGTTTACTTTCAGTTTCGCTTTTTCAGCATAGCTAGGGGAAAAAATTGCTCCAGCAATTTACTTCTTTGCAGCTAGGTAGCAATAGAGCCCTCCGCAAAACAGCTGAGAGCAAATCATCTGAGAGTAGGGAGGCTGATCAAATCAATTTATGGTAATTAACCTATGCTGAAGTTGAAAGGGGCTGTTTTTTCTATTTTTGCAGGCACCGGTCTACTCATTTGTTTTCTTTTAACACTGATCAGCTGTAGGGCAGCACTTTGAAGCCCAGTGGCAAGAATTTAAACAGTTTTTTCCCTCTAGCCATCAGCTGGGACTCAGGAGGCAGCAATAGATTGGGGGTGGGTGGGGTAAGCGAACGGCCGGCGATCCAACAGAGGCAGAGGGTGAGGGTGAGTGAAGGCGTGGGGGGAGGGGCAAGAGAGGGCTTTGGCAACCCGTGAAATGGCCGTTCGACCCCCAGGTTGAGAACCACTGGACTAGATGATCTCCAATGTCCCTCCCAACTCGAAACTATTCCAAGAAGGAATGGCACATAAAAGACAAAATGAATTGGATAGTTCTGGGCAGGCACCCCCCAAAAGGAAGCAGGAGCAAGGGCTTGACGACCAGAGGCATGGCATGGCAGTTTCATCAGGCCTCGGGGCTTTGGGAAAGAGAGGAAGCTGCAGGTCAGTTGAGGAGGAAACACAACCACATGGCTCAGACCTTCTGTCAACCACATAACGGCCACTACAATCCTTTGGCTTCCATCAAAGGAAATTGGAATGTCTGAGATTCCCAAGCCATGTAATCATAAAATAACATTATTAAAATAATTAGGTTAAAATTGGTACCATCTAGAATACATGCCTCAGATACATAGAGAGTTGCTATAATTGGCTGCCAATGCCCAGGGACAACAGATCTGAGAAAGAATGGGAAAAAATATAAATCTCACAATGAGAAAGGATAAACTGCAGATCTTGCCAAGCCATCCCTGCAATTATTGGCACATTAGGCTGAAGAACAGAAGGAAGGTTTACCAGAGCTAAATATTTTGGTCACTTCAATTGTGGATTTCTGAAAACACTCTTATCTTGCTGTCTGTATCCTATACCTTTAGATATTTATTCATTCATTCATTATCTATGGTTGCCCATTTCAATTACTCTGGATGGCTCAAAATATATTTCCAGTTAAAAATATTAAAAAAAGATTTTAAAAATAGTAAAAAGGCCAAACCAATAAAAACACCAAAAGCATCCAAATTAAATGACCATAATTAAATAATGCCGAGATTCCTCTCCTAGGAACGCGCGTCAAAGGTGTGGCCGCTTTCTGTGGTTCTTTGACGATTAGAAACGCAACAAAAACAACACCCACAATAATTGGGCCACGAGATGCAATTTCCCCAAAGAGGCAGAAGGAATTCGGCAGCCTCCATTCGGCGCTGGCGAGGTCAGCCAAGGGCTCCGTCGGGCGCTCCCGGGGCGTCCCAAGCGCTTGACTCAGAGGAAGCCGCCCGCCACCCACAATTAGCGGCCAGCAGCGCGAGGCGGCCCCCGAGGTCTCCGCCGGGCCGGACGGGATTCCTGGCGAGCCGGCCACGGGGCGGAAGCGGCTCCCCCGCGGGGCTCTTTGGCCTCCCGGTCCGGCTGACCCTCCCGGCGTTTCCAGGGCCAAATGCCGCCAGCGAGGCGCGGTTGGGCCGGCCCCGTTGCAGGAGCCCCGTCCGGACCCCCCCTCCGATGCCCCCGAAGCAGCGCTTCCTCTCCTGCCCCGGGCGTGGGGAAATGGGCGGAGGTCCCGGGAAGGCCGAGGACGGGAGGAGGCTGGCAAATGCCCCCCACCCAAGAGGGGGCTTGCAGTGCCTCTCAGGTGGTCCAGGTGCTCCTTTTGGCCAAAGCGAGACCCCCGCCCGCGCGCCCCCACGGGGCCTCCGCTGCTTTAACGGTCCCTTTAACGGGCTCCCTTGTAAAGCTTCTCTCTAGCAGGCGCTTGTGGCGGTGGGTGAGGGGTGCGGCGTGTGTTTGCACAGTGTCAACAGGCTGGAAAGAATTCCCGGGTGTGTCCTATAGGGGCAGCAGGCCTTTCCAGCATCACTTGTCTCCAGAGGAGTCCCCAAGACCCCCCCAGACCCACCTAATTGCCCCCAAAAGCCCCCCCCCCCACACACAGAGTGGGCGGCTTCTCTTGAAACCAGCCCTCCTGGGAAGAAAAGGGGCAGAGAAATGGGAAGAGTGCAGGACACACCCCAGAGAGAAGGCGGGGCCGTTGGCTGCTTCGTAATCACTGCTGTTTAATGCAGGTGGTTGATGAGCTTTGCTGGGAGGGCCTCCTGGTCACCTGTTGCAAGCTTAGAAGCTGTCAAAGTCGGTGGCCGCAGGCAGAGCCCAGAGCTGCAAAGGCCGCCCTGCCCCAGCCACCGCTTCCTCCTCCTCTGGGCCCCTGTGGAGCAGCAGCCCTGCCCTTCCTTCCTTGCCGCCTGCCCTGGTCCAAGGTGGTCTTCCTCAATGAAGAAGGGCAGCACCGACCCATTGGGAGGGAAGGCAGCTTTCCAAAGGGGCCACTTCTGCAGCTACAAAGACTAGAAACCTGCCACGTCCTCCTTGTGTGCTCCACCTGCTCCTTTTGCTGATGTTCGAGTCCCGTGAACACCGTTTCTCGCAGAGTAGTGGGCATTTGAAGAGCAGCATCTGTGAGTTCGATTCCCCCCCAAAGAGTCAGAACCCCACAGAACTCCTCCTCCCAGGTTACATCCAGCCTCCCAAGGGTCAATATGCCATCCCTGATTTACCATTCTGGCCGCTAGTCCTGGCTGCTGCTACACCCCTCAATTCTCTCTCCTATAAAACCCCTGATGCAAAACCCCCTCGGCACAGCTGCCCTGGTGGCAGAAGTGTTAACCCCCCACCCCCCCATACACACTTACTAGGGACCATGTCCTGGAGGCACCTAGCTGGTTCTCTAGGTAACACCATCAGTGCTAGAAGGAAGGGGGGTTGCTCTCATTATGTTACAACACTGATCCTATTTCCTAGTTAGGTAGTGAAAGGTCTAAGAAAACCGCCCAGCTCAAAGAGCACCAAGGACCCCACAATTCCTGGTTTCTTCCCAGGTCAGACATTGCCCCCCTTCATTGGCGGCTTCTCCGGAAAATGCTGCTGCAAGGGAGGGGGAGACGGGAGAGGCCTGCAGACCCCCGGCAGAAGTGAGGGAATGGACTGATCCCTGCTGCATGTTGCTGATGGCTGAAGCTCCACAGCAGGGTGGAAAGGGAGGCTGGCACCCCAGGCCAGCCCAGGGGAATGGTGAAGCAGGTGCCCAAATGGAGTCAGAGACGTTGACACAAACTTGTAGTTTTTTATAAATAAATATATTTTACATCTATATTTACAGCAGACAAGACAGGCGCATCATTACATCATCAGGTAAATCTTCAAGGTAAATCACAGAACAACATTCAGAGCACACAGAAGAAAAAAAGGGATGTGGGGGAGGAAATTCTCCCTTTACCCCACACAACAACCAATCACAGCAGATTGCCTCATGCAGAAGCCCGCACTCTCCAACCAATCAGCTACAGCTCTGTGTTCTGGCCCATTGTAGACTTTATTGTTCCAGCCACTCAATTGAAATACCCTACGAGGATGCTGGAGAGCTCTCCCGGGCTTTCTTGATAGGGAAGAAATTGCCCCCCCCTTTTTTATTACTAATCCTATAATTGCTATGTTTGTTTCCCCAGCTGGTCTGGCCTCTGCCGCATGTCTTATCTGTTGGGACCTGCAGCAAAGGGAGGGGGCCCACGAGATCAGCCCCCTCCTCCCTGTGCTTTGGGGTCACCTCAGGAGAAGGAGCAGGGCAGCGTGCCAGCTGGAGGAAGAATTCAGCTTGCCTTCTGAGGTTCACCCACCTGTCTGCGCGCAGGGTTTCCTTAGGCTCAAAGAGGCCATTCTCTGTGCCTCTCCGGGATCCCCTTTCCGAATTGTAATTCTTCTCACTGATATACTGGACCCTCTCAGATTCTCACTGCTTTGGGGCTCAACCTTTGATTGGGCTACTGCAATTCCTGGGCTATGGATTTCAGTGGGGGGAAAGGCAATATAGGAGAGATCCTGTCAGGCGGGAAGAAAGTGGGGGCAGCGCTCAAGAGTTCCCAAAAGCCCCCCCAAATCAGAAGAGCAGAGAGTGAAGCAAAAGAAAAGCTTTGGAACTCTTCCCACCCCTTGCAGCCGCAGGTTCTGAGGGCCATCATGTTTCATTCCTGTGGACACGTTGCATCTCCCCTCTCTGGGTTTCTACGCTTGGCTTGCACGCCCGGTGGGGGGGGCAGCGGGGTCTGTATCAAGTTCTGCAGGCTGCCCTCCTAGCCTGGGTGCTGCACCCTGTCCCACAAGAGACCAGCCTTTTGTGCCAACCAGTTGCAAAGATGTTTACTCAAGTGGTTGAACAAAGATCCGTACAGTCATCAGCACCAGGAAGTGCCTTCCTGCACACAAGGGATGGAGGGGCAGGGCCACCCCCGACCCTGCCGATCCCCACTGAAATTTGGACGCTTTGGAGCCCCGAGAGCCCAGGGAAGGAGTTCTCACATGGCTGAAAAGTGCTACAAATGAAGAACACCCCAGGAACGGTCTGCTCAAACGCAGTCAACTATTAATATTTGAGGCCTTTCAGTTTCTTGGAAACAATTCAAGTTATGCTGAAACATTCAGTTTTATACATGCCTGATGCAGGATGTGTAATCTGTGTGGTGAGATTTTTATCTTGGGAGGCTGACAACGTTTGGGTAAATAGTTACGAAACTCAAGTTGCGCCTTGTGAAAAAAATAATGATTTGATAGATTTCAGTTCCCCAGCCCAAAGTCTGCACCAGCTGTTCAACAGCCGATGTCACCCAGATGTGGAACAGGCCCCCCATGTCTCTCCCAGCCTGACCTTGTGCCAGGCTTTCATGCAGCCCTTCCTAGGAGGGCCGAGAGGAGAGGCTGACCAAGAGGTCCAGGCACTTGGGCACAGAACTCCGGAGTCGTCCTGAAGGTCCCCGCTGACCAGAACCACACTCTCTTCCACCATCTGCAGCATCCAGAGCCTGGAGTCGGTGACTTCTCCAGCACCTGCAACCTTGAAGGGCTCCCACGCCAGCCCCTCGGCCTGCACAGAAGGCCTGGCTTGGCTCTGGAGAAGCGACTGTTCCCTCTCGCTCCGGCAGGGAGAGGCCCCGGACAGCTTCCCCTCCCCGGATCAAGGGTGCAGGTCCTGGTGAGTCCTTCCATGCTGGGGCTGCCTGGTCACTCTTCCGGCTCCACCTCTGAAGACACAAGGAGTTGCAGTCCAATAGGCAAGTGGTCAGAGCAGGTGGCCAGCTGGGTGAAAAAGAAGACCTTCTCCACCGTCTGCAACGAAAGAGGGGACACAGCAGCAGAAGGGTTGAGAGCAGCAGAGCAAGAAGGGACCAAGAAGGGACCAAGAGTGAAGAGTCTGAACTGCTTGACCCCGAATCCTGGATAATTTCAAGTGGTCTGAAGACCGTCTGAGCCAACTTTCTGCTCAGGTTTAGCGGGTGGAGGCATCTTCCATCCATTTCCAGACCCATCTGTTTGCAGCCCCCTACTCTTCTATGGCACAACTTACTCCTAACATTAGCCAAGCCTACCGGTTTCCCCAGCTGCCCTGGCCAGAGCCTCAGCAGCCCCCATCCTCCTGTAGCCCTTCCCCAGAGACCCCCCTTCCCACTCTCCTTGGCAGTTTCCCCAGAGCCCTTGCAAAGGGGGAAGGACACGGTAGGGAAGGGGGCTTCTTACTTTGTTTCTCCTCCTTCTGGAAGGAGATGAACTCTCCTGGGTGGGATCACTGCTATTATGGAGACCCCTACCCACCTCTGTCCCTTCTAACCCCCCCAAGGGCTTGTGGAGACTGAGGGGATGGAGAGAACTACCTAAGAGAGAGGGAGGGCCGCTCATTGCCTCAGTCTTGGGGAGGGGGGGAAGTCAGCAGTTGCTGGGAGGCTCTACATGCTGGGAGGGGAGGGGGATGTTCTTGTTCAGGGCAAACTTTGGGCAGGTTTACTACCAGCATCAAGTTGACCATTTTGGAGTTCACGGGAGATGCCAACCTCCCTGTGACCCAGGAAAAGTGATCGGGGGTGGGGGGGGAAATCATGGATCTGATTGCTCAATCCCCAAGGACCAGATCCACCTAAGAGAGAACCTGACTGACCACAGGTGGAGGAAATGCAAATGCCGCTGCACCTGCAGTCACCCGGAAGATCCTTTCCCAAAGCCAAGAGCAGGAAGTCAGCATGATGAGAGCGCTTAATTGTGCTGCCAAGGAAGTGCCAGGCGTGCCTTGCACAACACTTTCTTTGCCGCAGGCCAGAGGTTGGTCCACGAGGGACCAGCTACCCAGATTCAATCCTCAACAAGAGGGAAGGTGGCCGCCTCCTCACAGCCCACCCCTGATTCAGGTTGGCATACATTATGCTACGGCCACGGCCACCTTACCTATCTTAGCAAGGAGGCTGGCCACGATTTTTTTTGGGGGTGGGGTTTCTGGAGTCCTGTCCTTCTGTTCCCACCCACGCAGGTCTTTGGCCGGTGGGAGACCAGCCCCAAGGGGAGAGGGCTGGAGGTCAAGCACAGCAACCAAAATATCCTGGGAGGAACAGAACTGGACATGCGGCAACCCCCAATCTTGTCCTGGGCTGGGTCAGTGGCAGCGTGTGGTCCAATGAGTCCCCCTTTCTCTCCCCAGCAGCCCAGGATCTTCTCAGCCCAGCTGGGTCCACTGGCAGACCGGGGGTCTCTGGGCAGGAAAGACCCTCCAAGGCACAAGCAAATGCTGCCTCGCGTGGGAGGCCGTAACTCTGAGGAACCGGCGTTGCCCTTACTCGGCAGGGAGGGAAGGCGGGTGTGTGGCTCCGCTATCGGTGGGGCAAGTGTGCCCCAGAGCGAGTGGGCTAAACGGGCGTCCTGGGGCTCCACAGAGAAAGTAACTGCCAAACACACAAAGAGGGCAGAGAGGGGGGTGCCCCCCGCCCTCCCCAGAGAATCGGTGCTCTGCATAATGATTTCGTGTCTTGGGGGGCCCTGAGAACTGCAAGGCGGGCAGAGCAGACCAACCCCAGGAAGCCATGGGGGCCCATTTCCTGAGGAGGCAAAGATTGTGGGCATGGAACGGCAGGCAAGAAGGCAGGTTTTCTGCTCCTTGCCAGGCTCGGTCTGGCCTTGCCACAAGCCCCGCCCCCCCAAAGAGCCGGATGCCAAAAGTCGGTGCCAATTCCAGCAGGAAGCCCCCTCGGTGGAGCAGCCTTGCCAGGCCCTGCTGCCCACAGTGGCCCAGCTTCTAGTGCCGAGGTCCTTGGGCATGGGTCCAGCTCCGGGCACCCTCTTCCCTCACCTGCTTCCCGCCCTTCCTTTTCCTTCAGCCCTCCGACTGCTGTAGGGGCTCACCTGGTCCAGAGGTACGCCAGGGGGGGGGCATTGCATGCCCAGATGAGAAGGCAGTTCCGGGGGCTTCTTGTTTGGCATGAACCCTGTGAGGCCATGGGTCCAGCCCCTTTTGGCAGCCCCATTACCCACCCACCTCCACCTCTGCTGCCCCACTCCAGGCCTCATTGCTGGCTCCCCCAATGAGTTATTCCCACCTCTGGGAACCTTTCCCAAGGATGCCCACCCCCACCCTTGTTGACTGTTCATGGCCATCTCAGCCTTCTCTTCTTTTTCTCCCCCCCCATCAGACCCAGCTGTGCATCCCTGCCTGGATCTGCCTCACCCCTGCAAAGCCAGCCTGGGGGGCGGGAGGGATCTATCTTTGGCATCCCCCGCCAATGCTGCCCTGACCACCCCAACTTCCCCAGAGTGGGCATCTACCCTGCCCGGCCCCTCCTGAATCCTGTCCCCCCCCCCGCAGCCCAGAAAACCAGGAGAGGCCTCTGGAGGCTCGGCTCCCCCTCCCCAGCCATTTTGGCCCAGCAGGGAAGGCCTGTCCAGGCTTCCTCAGCTGACCACAGGCTCCCAGGCCACTCACAGTCTTCAGGTGCCCCGGGCCCGAGTGTTGCCGGTAAAGAATGTAATCAATGCGCCGCCCTTCATGCCAGGTTGCCGAGAGGCTGGCGCTGCCATCAGCCTGGAGGGGGCCCGCCAGGTACTTCCTGCGCTCCTCTGAATTCTCCAGCGTCCTGGAAGGCAACAGAGAGTCTTTGGGGGATCATTTAGTTCAACCTGCGGCAGGATGAAGCATCTGGTGCCTGCTTGAAGACATCTGGTGAAGGAGAACTCACCACTTGTGGCAGGCTGTTCCACTGGCTAATGGCTCCTATGATCGGGAGGTGCCTTCTCTTCTCTAACCTAATCCCCCCTTGTGGTTTCCACTCACTGGCTCAGGTCCTGCCTTTCGGGGCAGTGGCATAGACATGGGGCAGCTCTCCAGGTAGTTGAAGCCTGCGACCCATATCTTCCCTTCTTTGTCCCAGAGTTTAAGACTCACCCTCACCCTTTCAGGTTTGCCACCCCTTGGCAGCCCTGCCCCCCACCTCCACCCTCTGGCCTAGACTTGGGCCTCCTGTTTCTTCTCCCTGGAGGTAGACCAACACGTCTCCCATTCCAGCTGCACCTGGCCAGCTCAGACCCCTTCCTTCTCGAAGGGTCAGTCATGTCTTCCCCAAGGACAGAAGCAGCCCCCCCAGCCCCTGGCAGGCTTCACCCGGGGGTCAACAAGCCTCCATCCTTGGACCCCCTATTTCTGTCCCCAGAGATCCCAGGACGGGCACCAGACCTCTCACCTCTTCAGGTTCTCTGGGGTGGCCACAGCTTCGTCGTAGATGTGCAGCAAGTTCATCAGCGTCCCTGTGAAGGGGAGGAGAATCCCACTGGCCTCTCGTCCACAATGGGGCCCTTCCCTCACTTCCTGCCCAACCCTCCCCTCCAGTCACACACACACACCCGGGGCCCTGGGCAAAAGGGAACAGAGCAGCCAGCCCAGGCATTCTGCCTGGGTCAGAGGCGCCACTGAGCTGGGGGTCACCCACCGATGGCCCAAGGCTCATCCTGGCGAGGACCGATGCGGCAGGGGTCTGTGTACCGGCTGAAGATCTCGTGGCTTTGTTCCATCTCATCACCTAAAGAGAAAGAGGAGCCTGAGACAGCCAAGCGAGGGGGGAAACCCCCCCCCCCCCACTCTGTGCTCTGCATCTCCCTCCAGGACACCCACCTAGAGAGCAGGTGTCGAAATTGAGGTCCCCACAGAAGATGTCGAAGGCCACCACGTCCCCCGGCTGCGCATGGGTGTCTTGGAAGAGCTGCATCCAGAGCAGGGAGAGGCTCAGCTGCTCGTGACGGATGGGCCCGTCGGCTGTGAGAGGGGGAGGGCAGCCGCATCAGCCTCGGGGGGGGGGCTGGGGGGCTCCCCTGTGCGCTCTGCTCCTGGCACATGGGTACCACCAGAGCAGGTACGGGGAGCCCCCTGGCTTGGGAGACTGCCCAGCAGGCCCAAAGAGCCTCCCCCCAGTGTGCCCCCCTCGCCCCCTCCTCAAGCAGGCAAGGCAGGGCAGGGCAGGACAGGCAAGAGTGGGATGGCAAGCGGGGAGTCGCCTTTGGAGGAGGAAGGAGACCCAGAAACGTCCAGAGCAAGGAAGCCGTTTCTCTGTTTCACTTCCAGGCTTCCCCTGCCCTCAAAGGCTGACGGCCATTGTTCTGGGCGAAGACCCTGGACGGCCCTCATAGGACGCAGGTGGCCCATAGAGATCATCTAGTCCACCACATCGCTGATAAGAGACCATCCAGCCTCTATCCGGAGACCTCCAGGGAAGGCAAACTGCAGAGAGCCTGCAGAGGTTCAGCACATCTGGCCTGGACTCCTTCCTTCTACTTTGGACCAAGAGGGACTCCCCCTTGGAGAGATTGGTCCTTGCTGTCTAGCCCTTCCTGCCTTGGCAGCCCCCGGGGCTCTCCAGTTGCAGCACATCACCCCTAGAAGGCTTCACTTCTGCCCCACCGGTCTCCGTTCCCACCTTGCCTCCCCTTACCTTCGGGGGCCTGCAGGTGGGTGCAGTTCAGGTATCCAATGACCCTTCGCCCCTGGCAAGCTCCCAGCTGCACCTAAGCAGACAAAGCAGGAACGCAGGTGAGCCTCTGTGGATGGGGGTGGGATAAGCTTTCTGAGAGGAGCCGCCCCCTCAGGTTGGGGAGTCCAGGGAGATACCCTCTGCTTCAAGCAGGTGTGAGAGACTGGCCATAAGGGACAAGATGAATAGCAGGACAGTCAGTGGCCACCAGGCAGCATTTAAGCCAATGGTTGAAGCCCCAGGGCCCCGCCCTGGCACGGAGGCCACATGGTGGCAGGGTCCCACTTATGCCCCTCCATTGCCCAAGGAGGCCCTGGCTGGCTCACCTGTGTGCACAGCAGGCCCTTGGCACTCAGGGCATCCTCGCCAGCAGCGTTGGGGTAACAGTGGAACTCCACTGCCAAAAGAGGGTAGCGGCTGGCCAGGAAGAGTCCACTGTTCAGCAGCTTCAGAGCGGAGGAAGCCTGCAGGCCGTAGGTGCCCACGTCATAGATGATGTGCTCAAACTGGGGGCCCAAGAACCGGCACAGGTGGGCAGCGGCCCGGGGGTCAAAGACCTCCTGCAGGCACAGGATGTCCAGGTTTGGAGGGAAGCAGACAGAGATCTCACAGGGGCCCTTGGACTCCCCTGCCACGGCCCCCACCTCCTCCACGATGGGCAGCTCCATGGTCACCACAGCGTCGCCCCGGGGGTGGCTCAGGACACCGGCAGGGGGTCCCAGCAGCCCGTGTGGAATTGCCAGGCCATTGGGGGCACCAGAGGGGGCATGGGGCATGGAGCATCGTGCCGCTTGCACCAGGGTCTGGCCGATGTGCCTGGCCCGCCATTGTGTTCGCCAGAGATTGCTGAATTTGGCCAGCCCCTCAGGGAGCAGGCAGACGTTCCCGCTGAGGAGGCCGAGGGTCCTGGCCGGCCCAGGAAGCGCCCACGCCTCGGGAGGGGCTCTGCCGGGGGTGTGCTGGTAGGCGAAGGGGCGCCGGGAGCCCTGCAGGGGCAGCCAGAGCAGGAGGGCCAGCAGCGAGACGGGGCTGTAGAGCAGCAGCAGCAACAGCAGAAGCGGCCCCCGGACGGCCACCTCCAGGCCGTGGGGCGCGCAGCCGGGCTTCTCCCCCGTGGTCCGCTGCAGGGCCAGCACTTCGCTCGCTAACCAGTAGCCGGGGAACATGAGGGCCCGCGCGGTCGTGTCCAGGCCCCCGAGGACGCGGCTAGAGTACGGCGACTCCCGGAGGCCCATGGTAGGAGGGCGGCGGGGCGACTCCCGGAGTGCCTGGAGATGCTGCCGCGGACGCCTCCGGTGCGCTGGGCAAAGGAAGAGAGAGCGAGAGGGGCGCGTGAGCTCCGCAGCGCACTTGGAGAGGCTCGCCTGGCCTTTGGGAGGACCGGGGGAGACGGAGGTCCGAAATCCCCGCGCCGAGCTCCGCACTGGCCTATGCGCCCTTCGGGCTCCATCCGCCGACGCACCTGAGCGACCCGACCGCGCTAAGCGCCTCCTGCCTCTCCCCGCGGCCACTCAGCGCGGGAAGCGCTGCCGGCGGGGTTGGGAGCTGCTGCGCTCGGCCGGCCTGCTGGGGGGGGGGGTGAAGGAGCGGCGGGTCCCCTCTCCTTGGGCGGAGGGGCCGCAGCAAGGCGGGACAAGGGGGCTTTGGGCGACAAGGGCGGGGGAAGGCTCCAGACTGCGGCGCGCGGCGCGGACGGTCCTGCCTCGCTCGGCTGCCGGCATCAGAACGGCCAGGTGCCGCCTCTCTTGAGGCTGCAGCCGCCCTGCCCTTCCTCTGGTCGACCCCGAGGGGCGGCGAGGAAGAGGCTAAAATGCTGCCAGGGGATACTTAGCCCCCACCCCCGACGCGCTTTCTAGAGCCGGAGCTGCAGGTGCTGAAACGGGGACCCAACGGCCAGGGACCGGCAGGAGCTCTTGGGCAGCGCTGGCTGACAGGTGGCCTGGTAAAGGCTGATTTTATTCTTAGCCTACCTTCAGGGATGTTGTGTAGGGAAATAAAAGATGCCCTACAGATTCCTTGCTGAGTGGCGGCGGCAGCGGTGGCTTCTGCTTCTCTTGGCCGCCCTTTCAGATGTGGCTTTCCCGCCTCTCCTACAACTGAGAGGGTCCCAAGTCACTCCGCTGGCTCCTGCCTAAGGCGGGGCTAAAACTCACAGTCGCCTGGTTTCGCAACCTCTTGACCGATTGCTGTCTTTTCCTGCTGAGTCGTGGTGGGCACCTTGACTCCCGGGGACTCCCAGGGCAAGATTTTCGGGAAAGTCCTCAAGGGAACGACTTGCACATCCTCCCAGGTTCAGCTGGGCTGGGGTCTAGGGATTGGCCTCATACAGGACCAGAAACTTGAATGGGAAATGTCCGGCCTCCCTATGGCAAAATGAGGCTGGTTTGCGTTCCTAGGGAGAGGAAAGGATCCCAAAGAGGACACGGGGGGAGCAAGCGGAGAGGAAAGGGCCCCGGAGCATCCGTAGAATGTCGCTGGCTCCAGGGCGCCCCGGGACCTGCGTCGAGAGACCCCGCTGCCTGGCCCCTCCTCCCCCTCCCCCTCCCCCTCTTGCTCCTAGAGCGACCGTAAGTCCCAGAGCCGCCGCTTCGCAACCCTCACCTCTGCCGGTGCCTGGCCGGAGCATCCACGGGGTTCCTCCTCATGGCCGGAGCGGTCGAGGAACTGAGGCCCCGCTGGCCTAAAGAAGCACCTGCCGGCGGTCATGTGCTCCGCATAACTGAGCTGCCCGTCATGCCTCCCCAGGATTGGGAGCCACCCGCTGAGCAAGGCAGGTCGATCCGGCTCGCAAATTGCCTGCGATCAGGCAGCTGACTAACAGGTCTTGCCTCGCTGGCTGGCCGGCCGGTTATAGATTAACTTCCGCGCCGCCATAAACGCCGCTGGCCCCGGGACAAAAGTCTAAGCGAGAGCTGGGAGCGAGGGAGGGGCAGACCCAGCGGACCCTGGCCCGAGGGTAACTTCCAGGAGAAAGTTTCTGCCGGGGCGGGGGAGAAGTCGGGGAGGGCTGTCTTCCAGATGCAGGCGTGTGCCTGAACATGCATGTTGGTCTGCCTGCTTGCCACGGGGGGGGGGGGGGGGGGGGAAGCCCAGGGGGAGCCTCACCTCCTGCTCTGGCACCCTTCGGGCCAGGCCTCCCCTTCCCCAGAGAGTCTTCATGCTCTCCCTGGTTGCTTCCATCTCCCCTTCCCAGAAGCAGGCAATATCCCTTGCTGGGCTGCCAGGAAGATAGCACATTGCACCCCTCCACTGCGCTTTGCATGCTGGTGTTGCCTGCCAGCTAGAGTTGCCAAGGAAGCCTTGTGGCTCCCCAAGTGTCTCCTGAGAACTTCAAGGGTAGAATTGCCAGAGGTCCGGTTTCTGGCAGAACCTGTGGGTCCAGTGGCCCTTCTGGGGTGGCCGCCTCCCCTGAAAAAGCCCTGTTCCTCACCCCTGCAAGGCCCAGAGGAGGTGGAGGCTGCCTTGTGCCCAGCCTCCGTGCACGATCCCTTGGTGGTAGCCAGTGTGCCATCTTCCCCAGGGCATCTCATTCTCTTCATTGCTTGCACTAACAAGGGTAATTCTCTAACATCCTCCCAGACAGAAGGCTACTGAGGCAATGCTGCCATGGCTGCTTTGTCAGGAGGTCAGCTCCCTGGGTCTTGGGTCCCACAGTGAAGTGGGCATGTTGACCCCTCACACCTCCATGATGAAGGCCCTTCTTGTGGCACTACAAAGCACCCCCTCCAATTAACGGTGTAACCTCCTGAGCTGATGTAGGCATTGGCCTCATTCCTGCTCAGGCTTCCTATCCCTGAATGCCAGGAGGAGTCAGGAGAGCGATCTGGTTTAATCCTTAGCTCAGTGGAGGAAGCCACCACAGCTGCTTCCCGCAGACCCCCTTCAGCCTCCCCAGAAACCCCCCCAAGAAAGGAGAGTGGACGGCCACCCTCTGGGGAAGTCCATCCTGTGCTGAACAACTCTTTTCTTGATATCTGATTACTATCTGCTTCCTGGTAATTTGAGCCTTCCTTTCTTGCTTTGTCTTCTGGAACAGCATTGAACTGCCTGTCCGCTTTTTGGGCCCTGAAGAGCACAACCAGGTTGTGCTCCGACACTTCGGCTCTTGGGTAACTTTCCCTCCAGGCTGGGATCATCCGGCCTGCTCTGCTCCTTCCTCCGTGTCCTAAATGCAGGGCCAGCCCTGTCCTCCCCCAGGCAGAAGGATTCCTTGCCCCTAAGCTGCAGGGTGTGTTGTGCTCTGCTTCCCTCTGGACCTTGGCTCCCCTCCCCCATGTCCAAAGTCAGCCCTTCAATTTTTCTCTATCCAAAGGTGGAACTTTTGGTTTCCCCCTCTTGCAATCCTGATTTCTGCCCAATATTCCAGCTGCCCCCCCTCACCTAAAGGCCATTCTTTGACGAGCCCCTCATCCTCGTGGTTCAGAAATGTGTGGAAGGGAGCCTACAGTGGCCATGCCACACTTTGGCCACTTTCACATTGCCCCCCCAATTAACGCACTGGCCCCCAAAGGATGGCTCCTGGAAGGGCCAATCCTGCTGGTCTTCCCCTGGAACCGCCTGCCCTGCTCCCTCCCTGGGGCAGCCAGGCGTTGCCATAGGGCCAGCAGAGCCCTCAGCCTGGCTGCTGCACTGACCCCCGGCTGTTTCCAGAGCTGGCTGGGCTGCAATGCTTCCTCCCACGTCCCCAAATGCTATGGGGGAGCTGACCAAAGGTCTACCAGACTTACAAGTTTCTCCAATTGTTCCCGTTACTTCAGAGCAAAAAGTTACTTGAATCAGGGCTTTACACTTAGATTTTCGTAGAATAATCTTGCGGGGAGGGGAGGGACTGCATCAAGGGTGAAATGTAAAATTTGTTACTACCGGTTCTGTGGGCGTGGCTTGGTGGGTGGGTGGGGTTAATGTGACGGTGGGCATGGCCAACTTTTTTTTTTTAACTTTTCAAAGCATTTTTTCTAATGCTTTGAAAAGCCTCTGCCGATCAGGCAACTCAGCTGGGATCGTCAGATAGGTTTTTTAAAAAATGCTTTGAAAAGCCCAGATGAGCAGCGCGATCATCAGAGGCTTTTTTTTTTACTTTTAAAAGTATTTTTTTGTCGGAAGAGGTTGTAGAAAAAATGCTTTTAAAAGTAAAAAAAAAAGCCTCTGATGATCGTGCTGCTCAGCTGGGCATGGTGGTGGTGGTGGGGGGGGTGCAGGGATTTTTGCTACCAGTTCTCCAAACCACCCGCCGCTATCGCTACCAGATCGGGCGATCTGGTCTGAACCGGGAGCATTTCACCCCTGGACTGCATGTATCTCTGCCCCCAGAAATGCAGTCTCCCTGGCACTCGGGTGCAGGCCTGCTGCTGAGGCTGCTGAGAAAGGCATCTGGCCCACTCGCTGCTTGTACAGGTAGTACTCAATTTATGACTGGCTGCTTAATGACCGTTCAAAGTTCTGATGGGCTTTCAAAAGCTACAGCTTGCCCTCAGTGTTTCAATTGCTGCACCTGCCCCCTCCCTGTGGTCAGATCAATGCATTTTGGGCACTTGGCAGCCAGCTCACATTTCCAACTGGGTGCAGCATCTCGCATTAATCTGACTGCAATTTGTGCTGTTCTCCAGCAGAAAATGGCGAAAACCAGCCATTGGATATGCCGGATTTGCTTAACGACCATGTGGTTCCATGACTCGCTTCACAAACGTTGTAAAAATGGTCATAAAATCAATTCTGCTCACGTGGTGTCTCAGCTTACAACTGCAACAATTTATGACTGAAATGCTAGGCTCCGTTTTGGCCATAAGGTGAGGACCAGCTGCAGATGAACCCAGCTCTTCCTCAGGCCGAACCATTCCCTCTTTCCCCACAATGAAACCCACTCCTTTCAAAAGGAGAGGCCTCTTCTGCCCCCTCCACCCCGCAGTATCCAGGTCCCCCCTGGCAGGATCTCTCCAGAGGGTTTGGCTGCCCAGGGAGACCAGCAGAGTCTCCACACCACCCTCCACTTCCAGGACCTTCTCCCAGGGCCTGGTGTGACCCTGGAGAGGCAGCCTTCCTGAAGAAGCTGCAAGCCACAAGAGAGACCTGCATTCCCGAAAGGGCGCTAATAAAGGAGGGGGAACTACCTCTTTGCCCCGGGGAGTCATGCGCACTGACTGCAGGTAACTGTCGGCCTCTGTGGCCGCATAGCTGGCAGCATAGCCCTGGTAGGCGTCATCAGCTGAGAGGCAGCAGCGAACAACAGGATCTGCCTGGCACTTGGGAAGCTTGGCACGTGAGTCACTTCCCTGCCCGGCAGGGACTGGAGCTCCGATGCTTCCTTGGCTCTGCTCAGCCTTCCTGAGCTGCTCCCGTTCTCTGGCGGGGGGGGGGAGTGGGAGGAGGGTGTAAGGGGAGGCTGTGCAGACCTCCTCACCTGGCTCTCTCCAGTCAATTCTGACTTGCTGCTTGGAGGCAAGGAAAGAGCTGTCTCACGCCAGGAAAGCTGATGCTGGGAGGGACCGGGGGAGGGGGGGCAGCCAAGAGTTGCCTCTCCTCCTTGGCAGGGCATCCCGATCTGGCCCTCTTCCAAGGATGCCTTCTGGGGAGTCCAGGGCAGAGCGAAGCACTTTGGCCTCCCCAGGCAGGATCCAGGGGCTTCGATGGCTCTCTGGGGGCCAGCCTGCTGTGCTTCTGGGGCCCAAATTGGAAGCTTGAAAACGACTTCCTTTCCAGGTTGGGATGTGGGGGTGAGGGAGGGACACTTAAAGAGGGGAGGGGGGCTGTGCCAGCAAGGGCGCTCATCAGGGCCAGTGGAAGAGAGGTCTTGCAGAGACAAGGTGAGGGGGTCCGCTTTGGTGAGTAAAGTTGGGGCTTGGGCCAGGGGAGCCATTCGTCCTGCCCAGTTTCAGCCAAATTCACCCCAGAGAAAAGGACAGGAATGGAGAACAGGAGCATAAAGGGCAGAATAAACCAGTTTGAAGGGAAGGAAGAACCTGAATGTCAGTGCTGGCCATTAACCTCCCAGTTGGGGGGGAGAACCCTCCATGCCACTGGCAGACCACCAGCTCAGAAAGGCTTAGCAGTAGCTGGGCAGGAGAGGGGCCACTGCCAGTCATGAGCACTGCCTGCAGGTTACTGGTAGCTCTTCCTGGGCTCAGACTGCTGGGAGATGTTGAAGCAGCCTGAGAAAATGTGTCGTCTTGCTTGAAATGAAGCAGATGAGGAGAATGGACACGGAAGGCTTCCAAAAGCTTCAGGATTCCTAGTGAAGGAGCCCTAACTGGGTCCAACAGGGCCAAAGCAGCTGGCGTGCCAGGGCAGTGGTTCTTGGGCACGAGGGCCCCCTGCTTCCCCCTCTGCCCCGAGGCCTCCTCCCCTTGCCTGCCCTGTGGCATCTACGAGGGCCGCTGTTGTCGCCGCTGCTGCTTACCCTGGGCAGGGACGGCCACTCTCCAGCCACTTGGGGCAACCAAGGGCAGCCCTTGAGCCTGACGTGTCTCTGGCCATCAGCAGGGGAGCCCCACAAGTGCCTGATCGCCAGCAGCGGTGGCTCCTAAGGCCCACAGGTTGCCTTGTTGCTCCTGACCTTTGCCCTGGGGGCTCAGGAGCCTCTCTGGGGAGGGGGAGAGGGAGGGCCACCCAGACCCACCGAGGCTGCTGGGCCCTCAGGGGCTTCCTCTGACATGTCTCTGCTCCACCGAGGGGCGTCTGAGGAAGCTCCAAGCGCCTCCAGGGTCAGGACCAGGCTGACACCCCAGTTTGGCGGGGTGTGCATGGATGGGTGAGAGGG